TGGGTGACATTTAAATAATTTTTTAGCGTTATGATCGACAGATCCGACTTTAGTAATTAGAGATATTCAATTTTATTTACTAAATGTATCCTAAATATAGGATAGAACGTGCTATTTTCTATAGTTGTGTTATATTTGTGCAGAGATTACAGTCAAAATTTCCTTGCAATTCCAGAAAAGGAATTTCACTTCCGCCTTTTTTATATAGAAATATTTGATAGTGTTACCATTACAATTTTAAATTTAAATCGTAACATAGGAATGGTATTAATGTTGTGAGGACCTAGACTGGCCACGGAGGCTTAGATAATATAACGTTGACCTGGTGATGGGGAAGGACTTGGGATCGATGAAAACGTAGTTTTATAAAACTGTAGTTCCATAAAAAATGAAGTTTCATTGGAAATGAATTTTACGTGAAAAAAGTGCTTGTTACCACCGTAGTTTTTATAATAATGTAAAAAGTATAGGCACTACCTTATCGTGCTCTGAATAAAGCTCAGACTTCGATGTCTTTTATCGAATTAGCTAAAAATAAGAATTGATTTCTCAATGTATTATAGTTTTAGTATTTTATTATCATGCTTATTGCATTTTCTTATTATTACATAATAAATAATTATCCCTCGATACAATAAATTGATGCATCATAATTACTTTGATCTCAGATCTAATTAAGTAATAACCAGAACCCCAATCATATCGTATCATGTACACAAGTCTCCCATTGATAGTAATAATAATGCAAGTTCAAGTGCAAATGCAATAGCTATTGCTATTGTTATTGCTGTTGCGATGTGATATTATAATTAGTAAGATTATTGAAACGAGGCCGAGGGATATACTTAGAAAAAAATGTTCAATATAAATATTTATATAATTGGGCTTGAAAGAGTCTAAATGAAACGAGGCCGAAAGTAACGAAGCGAGGCCAAGTGCCATATAAAAGGTTGTCGTTTATGTACTTTCCTATTTATATCTAGAACTAGTCTTATGTGCTGAGTGTTGAGTTTTATTTTCAAAAACTTCAATTTTTACTAAAATAAATTAATTTATCAAACACCATGTTATCGTTAAGTATATCATCTTTATGCTACGTATTTATTGGCAGAAATGGGCGGCGAAGCCGCCTGATGTGCAATTTCTAGTTTCTCTAATTAATTGCTGTTGTGGAACGAAAAACCCGACAAAAGTCGGGTCAGCAAAAAAAGCATAAATTACTTTATCTGCGTTCCCCTTAAATACTCCTAATGGTACTAACCGCAAATACTACATCAGTGTATCACAAAATTGCATACGAAATCATACGAAACGATCCATTCGAGACAGAATACTGCTCAGATACTTTGTATCAGGTGGCTATGCGCGTTATTTTCGGGACGCGAATGGGGTTATTTGCCCAATTTTTTAAGAAGACAAGTTTCAAATTAACACCGGTCGGCTATTACGCGCAGTTACGGTATGTCATAATTCAATTCTTAAACTATTTATACTAAAGAATTCATTTATTTATTTTACTTGAGAAACACTACGAATAACTCTATAATTTGAATTTGATGAGGAGAAATATATTTTAATTTAATGCGTAAACTTACTCTATACCAGTCGCATCCTATTATACTAATTCCTATGTTACCAACCTCAACTATACTTACTGGCAAACCGGCAAATTCCATCTGTAAAAAATTAATCAAAAAATAATCTTAATATTTTGCAAATATATTATATATAATAACTATGAAAATAATATACCATTTGTTTAAATAAGAGTGTTAATAAAGGTTTTGAGATATAGGCTTAGTTCTGAAAAAAGGGACAAACTTACCAAAAAAAATTCTTCGCAAAAAACAATTATCTCGTGAACTATTCATCAGAATCTCACAATTTTGGTACCGTTAGATTCCTCTCATCGAGACAAATAGAATGACACCAAATTATTTAATTCTAACCATTAGATCACGAGATAATTGATTTTTTTTAAAAGAAATTTTTTTCGTCAATTTTGTCCTTTTCACAGTACCAAGTCCTATTAATTTGGCCAAAATTCGGGATTTGGGCTTCATCCTAGCTCTTGTTTCCACGTCATGCGCGGCGGCAAAAACTGCACTACCCATTAATATCTTTGCCTTCCACCATATGAAATAATGCGTGGGGCAGTTTCTAATAAATTAAATAAACCTATAATAAATAAATAATAAAAAGGAGTGCAATAAAAATAATAATAATGAATCTCGTGACACAAGTCGCACATAATTAAACAATTGTGTACATAGATATTTACCAGTGTTACATAATAATTTATGGAAATCAACTCCGATAGTAAATCCGATAAAAAATTGATATGTAATATCACGGCCGAATCATCAACAAATAGGAAATATTACATAAAAAGTTTTACTAACAGAATGCTTTTTTTTTTTTTGGTGCGGTTGTCTTGATTGTGTAAATGCTAATGCATTGAGAATCTATGCGATGTAACTGACCAGTCCGACATTTGAGAAATATTATCAATAACACCAACAATATGCATAGCCATAATTGTTACAATTAAGTTATAATAACTTTAATTTCTGGCCACTAAAGTATAATGTTTCGCAAAATGGCTGAAGAGAATCATTTAAAATCCAAATAACAGGTAATTGAACGGTCTTTTTAGTTATCAACAATTGCATTTACATTTTTATACATAAAGGATGCCTCGATCATAACCGGGTTTACATCTTAATTATTTTAGTATCACGTAAAAAATTTTTTATAATTATTCAGAATTTCAAAATTAGAAATTTTATTTATTAAATAAATTAATTTTAGGACGTTATTTCTCCCTGTGAGATGTTAGGCCAAGCCTGACTAATGATTGTACTTAAATCAAATAGCTTTTTATCCAAATAACTCTGGTAAATATTACTAATATATACCTAATTATTACTAAGAATGCATCCTAATGCTTAAAGCGGCTGTTAAAAATTGAAAAAGCCCTTTGTTGGTAGCCACCCTAATTATATCGGATCTATGGTAAATCAATTTTGGGAAACACTTACCAAATATGTAAATTTTTGCCTTATTAGCCACAATCACGCAATAGGAAAAGATTGAAGCTTGTTAGTAATCCTATCACTATATTCGCCAATTAATCCGACAGCGGATAATTGGCATTCATTTTATTATTACCTCGTCAAAGGACCCTTCGAACCTATTATAGCGAAACCTTACTAAGCATGACTATTACTGGAGTCTATTTCAACAATCAGATATACTGTATCATTTAGCCTGTTAAAAATTAGTAGTACGATTTTAGAGCATTATTAATAAAATTTATGCATTGTGCAATTTTTTCTGTTCGTTAAATAAAATAAAATGATTTCTGTCGGAGCGGTAGAATAAAATATGGTATAGACTCCAATAAATTTTTATTTAAAAAAAAAAAAAAAAGCAAATGGATAAAATAAAACCAAAATTTCCTTATTCCAGTATTCTTATTCTCTAATGTCCTGTTACCTTGATATAGTGATCGGAATTATAACGTTTACAACTTTATTTTTTTATTTTTTTTTTTTTTTACGCAGTGTAAATGATCTTGTAATAAGAAAAAAAAAAAAAAAAGCCAATTATAGTCAATTAAATATACTGCTTTTTTTAATTGTGTAAGTATAAGGTTAATTAAATTATCGGATTTCGGACCGCGGTCAATAACCATTTTCAATTGTAATTGTTAAATTTCAGAATAGTTGTTTGTTTACGTATGTACTGTACGTACATGTACGTACAAATGAGATAAATACGCATGTACTTGAAAATCAATCCGTACTCCGATAGCTCCGATTTTCCATATGCGTCAGCCCTTACTAACTAAAAAAAGGCATGGATTAAAGAATTTATTTATTCGCCGTTTTTGGAGAATTTTATCCATTTAGTAAATTCCTAAAGAAATTTGGATCTACCTATGCAAATATTTGGTTATTTCCTTATAGTTATGATGAGAATTAATAGATTTATTTTATTTCAATTTTATTCAAAATTCCATATAGAATGTTTAGTTTTATCGTGAAAATGGATTTAATGCTAAGAAAATCTTTTTGTTTGTTTGCTTAAAGATATTAATTCTTCAATATTCCTTAATTATATAACCTAAATTATATAATCATCCAAAAGTTTGTAATGTACGTACGTACGTAACTCCGAATAAAAGATAAAAAGTATATGACGTCTACTATTAGGTAACAAAAAGGAATTGTGTAACCCGATACTAAATTTCCCGCCTGATTAAATAAGGTAATATGATAAATTTAAACCCTAATTAGAGTTAGTTTTGCTAAATCAATTCATAATGATTATTTTTTTTTTTTAAATGTGTTGATCAAGATTATTTATATTTCGGATATTTGAATATTACTAGTCTAAATAATATATTTCTAATAACAAAGCATTCATTCATAGACTCGGAATTTTTTTAAGATTTTAAATGTATTTATGAAAGATATCCAAATATATTATATTAATTTAATCCGGAATTGGAGCGTTTTATAATACAATGAACTTAATATGAATGTTCATAAATAGGCCTTCAATTTCTGGTTTTTGTGTCTCGCCGAACGTTACAAAATCCTTTAAAAACTGTTTAGTAAATCGATTTCTTTTTTTTTTTTAATGGTTGACTGTTTATTACTAAACGTTTTCGTTATTACGTTTCAGAAATTATGTAAAATTTTCATTAAATTTTTATTTATTTGAAAAAAAAAAGATTGATTTGGCCTTTCGATAATTATCTTTTTTGCTTTAAAAAAAAAAAAAACATTTCGCAATTTTTTGAAAATTTCCATAAAATTTTTTTTCCGATACGAATAAATTATCCGTTACGTTGAATGTGTTGAATGCTAACGTGTGCTCGTTTTAAGATTATGATTACTATTATTATTAACATCGAACTTAATATCGAAACGTGATTATTAAACGCAAACACAAATTCTCAATTATTTTCAAAATATTATTAAATCGTAATAATGTCTCATTATCAATCACCGCACGTCTCTCAAGTTTCTACCCCTTCGGCTTCTTCTTCGATCCCGTCTAAATGTGTATCGATTAGATTAGCTGGTGTAAATAAATCCGAAAGATCAGTTCAAGATCATTCGTATACCAAGTTCAAATTCTTTCCAACTGATTCCAAAGATGATATTCGTCATGAAATTTCGAAAGCGTTTTCCGTAGAAAGTTTTTCGTTAGTCGATGAAAGAGAAGATCATATCATTACTGCAACTTGGTATTCGCTAGAAGATAATGCCAATTATAGTCTTATCAAACGAGAGAAAAGAAATCGGGCATCTTCAAATAATGATATCGATAATCGACGACCTCCTAAATCAAGCAAAAAGCTTAAAGAAGCCATCGATACTGATGATAATGACATTAGTGAAACTGATGAGAATGAGGATGATAAATCCAAGAAACGTTCTCATGCTAAGAAAGCATGCGCTAACTGTAGGTCCGCAAAAAAAAAATGTGATCAAGAATCAATTCCTTGTCAAAGGTGTGTAAAGCATGAACTGCAATGTAATTTACAATCAGAAATTTAGATGCATAGTCGAGCATAGTCCGTTTATGCTTTATAGAATGCTTTATTTCGGTTTTCTATTCGTTTATTTATTATATACGTAGGCTCTTTTCCTCGTTTTTTGCATGCATACAATTCTTTTTATGTTTTTTTTTTTTAAATTTTGTTTATGTACTATGTAAAACATTTCGAAATTACTAGTGCTAGTAACAACATATCATTTAAATTTGAGCTTACATAATAAATAAATGTTTTATTATCTTTGCTATATTTATTACGAAATATTTTATAAATTCTACGTCAATCACAGATTTATTTTGATAAATTATTAAGTTTGTTAGATAGTTTATTTGAATTCTATGGATTCGTATAATTCAAATCGGCATTTCTTAATTAAGTAATGAGTTAAGAGAATATTTCCAAATGTCATTGAAATTAGAGATTAATCATTAAAAGGTAAAGATCAGTTGTTAGTATAAGATAGCTGCGCAGCATGCAGTGCCGCACAAGACCAGTACGATCAGCCATGTGGTAACTATTAAATTTCGTTCAATTAACCTATCAAGATATACTGATATTTATCTGCACATTAATTTAATACGAATAAATGAACCACAGCATACTATAACATATAGCTCACTTTTACCACAAAGATTTTATTAAGTAAAATGCCCCTATTTTATTATTTTCACAAATATTACAATAGGGCTATTATGATTTAAAATAAAAAAGATAGGATATTTGATTAGAGTCAAACCCCCTAAATGCACCATCTCTAAAAATGCAGCACCTCCCTAAATGCATGATATAGGTCCAGTCCAGGGACTCGTAAAAATTTGGATTTTATTTATATGAATTTCAATTCCTATAAATAAAATCCAAATTTTTATGGGTTCCTGGTCCAGGCCCACGGTGTGACTTATAGATAAATCACGTTCTTTATTCTGTAGTGACACGCTAATTGCCTGGCCCACTTATAAAAACTCACTTCATAAATGCATCCACGTAGTTACTGACCAATCAAATGCATTATTTCTAGGCTACTAAAGCCATTTTTATTACGTGACAATAGTTACATTGTAATTTTATTAGTGTTCTCTAATTGCAGCCCTCTCTGAATGTACTGTATTTAATATCCTGGGTCACTTGTATTAGTGAATTGATTCTTGACAGTAATAACGGAAATACTGATACTGATCGGCCACTCAAGGATCAATCCACAATACTCAACGACCCAAGACATTATTATTATGAATTTCTTTGATATCTAAGTTGTTAGGGTTGAATTAGTTTAGCTTTTTTGTGAAATTATCGCAATTGCAGGTTATTGCAAAAAATTTTGTTGCAGAACTTGCTATTCCAGTATGTGGTTAAGTTGGTTTGTATTCAAATTATTGTGATTACTATCATGAGTTACTGTAAAAATTTTGTCATAGAACTTACTCTTCCAGTGACAATCCATATTGGTTAAGGTTGCATTTGAATTATCGAAACTTCTATGTAATTCAGTCTAAATTAAAATCGAAATTATGTTAATTTATATTGAGTTATTGTAAAAAACTGAAATTGTACTTACTATTGTAGTAACCATAGTATGTGGATGAGTTAGTTTACATCAAACTATCATGATTTCTAGATTCAGTGTTTCAACTAAAACTAATTTTCAAATCCAAAACATTTCGCTCTATAAGTCTTAAACCCTCTGAACTAGTTTTGCCTAATTTGAACTGCAAATTTGAGTTTCACCCAAAACACTTATATTAAGATTGATTTAGTCTGCATTTACATTATTGTAATTTTTTCATAAATTATTGTAAAAAAATTGTTAAAAAAAAAACTTGCTATTTTAGTAATCATGTCAGATAATTTATTTTGAGTTAGTTTGCATTACAGTTATCAAATTATCATAAAAAAAAATTTACTCTATTCCAGTGACATGCACTATGTAATTAAGACTGTTAAGTTGGTTTGTATCAGAATAAATATGCTTGGTGATGGAAAAAGAAACAAAACTGACATATAAAAAATTCTTCGTAAAAATTAATTAACTCATGAACTATTAATCACTATTCGATTCATCTCACAAAGAAGAAACAAATGGTACCAAATACATATAATTCTGATTAATGTTTTGCGAGAAAATTAATTTTTATAAAGATTTTTTTTGTTATTCTCCTAGCACCAAACCAAAATTATTGTAGTTTTTATCGTGAATTACTGTAAAAAATTCTGTTAAAGAACTTGTCATTATTTTAGTAATGACAAGGTAAGTTAGTTTGTACTGAAATTACCAAGATTTTACTATAAAAAATTCTGTTACGAACTTACTCAATATTTAGTATGTAGTTGAGAGTTGAGTTAATTTGCAATGAAATTATCGAGATTTTATTATGAATTACTGTAAAAAATTCTCTTACAGAACTTTCTTGCTATTACTGTATGTGGTTAAGGTTGAATTAGTTTGTATCAGAATTTATAATTTCTATTATAAGTTGTCATAAAAAACATTTATATTCTGGTGATATACAGTATATGTTCCACTACTAGTTGAGTTGATTTCTTAAATCATAAATATATACTCTTATATTATCACTCAAAAAGCTGTAATAAAAATAAGAAGAATTTACAAATAAAGGCCTAAAAAGTGAAAATAATTATGGATAAGGGCCCAAATTAAAAATAATTACATATAAGGGCCTGATTTTTGAAAAATATATATAGAGGTCCAAATATATCAATAGTTAAAGAAACATGATCACAAGATTACCGTACCCAAAGGCACTCATTTATAAGCACTATATAGTTATAATTAAATACTTTATAAAAGATAATATTCAAATTAGCATAATTTTGCATTAGGCTTTGAACATTTTCAATAAAGCTTGACAAGTTTGATCATGATTAATTAACCTTATGATATGAATAAACATTTGTTAACAGAAATATTAAATGGGTATTTGCAACTCTTTTCAACAATCACTTGAGCCAATTTTTTCAATTAAAGAAAAATAGAAAAACTCTGTTGGAAAGTTTAGTAGACTACAGTAGCGGTTTTTTAGAAGAGGTTGACTAGCTCTGGGGACTCCTCACTAATATTTAGCATGCAAGCCAAAAGTCTAGTCAAAAGGGAAAAGCAGGTGGCACTCTTGGCAAGCACTATTGATTCTGGTGGGCAGGACTCCGCTGACAAAGCTCTGTAGACTATAGTTCTAAGAAAAATGTTAGCTTTGGTTTTTAGGAAAATAATAATTAATTTAGCTTGGGAGACTCCAACCTATATTTGGTATGCAAGCCAGAAGCAAAGCATACGAAGGAGAAAAAGGCAGGCAGCACTCCGAACTGTGCAAATTTTGATAAAACTAAAGTTCTGTTAATGAAATTGCTAAGTTTTTCTGGGACCCAGGGGTACAACAAGTTATATATTTTTCTCAAGCTGCACTTTTTTTAACTGGTCAAGTGGTTCCTCTTTACTCTCTCTCATCCTCCTATCGGTTTTCCAAAAAATTTTAATAAAAAGTAGAGATTTGGCTTACTCTCTTCAAAAGATCAGTATTGTTTACTTACGAACAAATATGGCGCTACTTCACGGGACTTAGCCTGGAAACCTTCATGCAACAGAGCTATCTGGAGTAGATATGAAGATCAGAAAGTAAATTTAATATTAAGACAAAGCTTTATAGCAAATATATACAAATGTTGTATTTGTTATATAATTTTTATTAGCCACACACAGGTTATAATAGTGCCTTCAGGGTTTTAGGTTTCTTTTTCATGTTTTTTCTTTTTTGCAATGAGTGTTTTTTTTATTTTTCTGTTTTTTCTTTTTTTGCTCATTTTTGTATTTTTCTTTTAAAAATTTTCCCCTTTTGTATTATACCTCTTGAGAAGAAGAAAGAATTAGAAGAGAAAAAAGAGATCCTGATATAGTATACAACAGCCTGTTAATAATTGAGAGGGTATCATTTCAATGATCAAAATCTGAAGTAAGTTTTGAATTCCGAGTGAGACTAATAGTTATTATAGTAGATCACATTGGGTTTAACCTGGTGAGTTTTTATTAAGTTAAAGCTACAAGTTGTAATAATTTAGTACATTCATATATATAGATTATATAACAGCTCACATGAATAAAGGCAAGATTGCTTAAATATAAAAAAAAATAAATAGATATTCATTGTCTTTGTTTGTATAACAAATAACAAATAGTTTGTTGGGTTTATTAGTCCTGAACTTGTAAGGCGAAAATGTTTCAACAGAATAACTCTCTAGAGCTAAGCAAATACTTTTTAGATTAGTAAATATCATTCTAAGTTTTAGTGTTATAGTTTGTTATAACAATAAGCAATTTTATAAATTTATTATATTTACGAAGTCAAAGACACTTCTTATTTATTTATGATTACTAATTTATAACCTATTATTGCATTTATTAATGATTATATTTCTTATATGCCTGATTATATAAACTTATTAATGTTGATCAAGCCACAGGCTTGAATAAGTTTCATGTATTGTACTTTTATTTTAGACCCCTATATGTAATATTTTTAAAAAATCAGGCCCTTATATGTAATTATTTTTAATTTGAGCCCTTATCTATAATTATTTTTACTTTTCAGGCCCTTATTTGTAAATTCTTTTAAAAATAATTATACCTTTGATTTGCCATATTTCAATTTCATAGTTATTAATTTATAGTCGATTATAAATTACAATGATCATGTTATTTAAACAATATTGCAAAAATATTAAAATACATAGACCCCAATTAAATTACAAAAAAAGTGTGGTTCTGTAATTTTCATGATAAAAACAGCTATTAATAGTAAATAGATATTTAAGAAAGAAGAAATAGAAATTGGCTCTCCTTTTTTGTCTATAGCATTATTTTCCTGCATAATTATTTTTTACACAACCATAGTTATTCTTCTCACATCACTATATATTATTAAATAATTATAAAGTGTTATATTTGTTTCTACATTGCATCCAGTATTGGTAAGTGCTGCATAATCTCTTACCTTATTGTATTACACAGTTTACTATATGGCATTATTTTGCATTAGATCTAAAACTTCAGTACAGTAAGTTGTCTTGCTTCCAAAGTTTGCTTAACAAACACAGCCTTTTGTTAATGCTCTCTGGCTTATTAGTGAATTTATTACAAAATAACACCATTATAGATGATAAGTAAACTGTCTGTCTTTATAAAGCATTAGATGTTTAAAGTACTCTCCTAGTTTTATTTTTGTTATTTATTGACTGGAAGATCTGCAATATCTTGAAGAAAAAGAGTAGAGAATGCTCTAGCTATATAACTAGCAGTTTAAAACTCATTAATAGAACAATTTTTATTATGAGGCCAGTTACTCTGTAAATTATTGTCACATAGTTTACTAACACTATGTGTACTACTATAACTCTACTATCGATATTTACTAATGATCTTCACTCGCTTGGCAATTACGATGACTGGAATATTGTACCAGATACTACCACCAGCAATGTATTCACACAGATACAATAGTTTATTCACTAAGAATGAAGCTTATTCACAAAGCGAAAGCTAAAGCTAGGCATCTTCTCTATTTGGATTGATGCTTTATATATTGTTGTGGATTATCGTGAAATCAGATCATAGTGAAATTTGGGGTCTTAATTTGAAAATATAAGCCCTACCAAAATCCACCTATACACTTTTATTAATAATTCTAACTCTAAACCCTAACTTAACTATAAAAAAAAAGCTTACAAAAAAGGCCCAAAAAATTTTAAAAATCGTATATAAAATAAATCTAAATTTCACGATAATCTGATTTCATGATAATCCGTGACATATATTATTACTAATACATATTTTATTACTATATTATTCATGCAATCACATATTAATTACTAATTGCTATTGATTGCTATATTGTTCATGCAATACTAATCGCTTCTAATTACTACATTGTTCATGCAATGCTATTTTTAGACTTTTAATTAGATCGAGATTATGCATATCCCTGATCACAATATTCAATCACGTACTTGATCACTAATCACATGGGTACCGCTACAAGTATATGGGATATAAGAAACACTCAACACATAAGCTAGAATCCCAATAACTTTGTCCCAAAGTTAAATTCGCTTGTGCAACACAACCTCAATATTATAATGCTCTATCAGCACCACCCCATTTCTGTATTGTCTTCACCAAACCCATCATCATCGAGTCCATCTCCATAACAAAATCCAATGGTGCTTCTAACAAAACACCTGCTTCATTCTGCAATTGTTGACCAACATTAATTGCTTCATCAATATCATTATCTATATCAGCTGATCTTTGATAATTCACAAATGCCTTATGTTTATCCTTTTCATCACAAATTCTATTTGAATCAATCTTAATTGCTCTATCATCTGAGCTTGAATTCCCAGAACATTCAGGTTTGTTTTCCTTATCGACTTCAATTTCATTAACGTTGCAGTAGCCAACATTATAGATTCCATTAATATTACCTATATCTACGGATTTTTGACAATAAGTGAATGTCTTATGTTCATCCTTTTCAATAATGTTTTCCTTTTGTTGACTATATTCTGGTTCATCTTTTCCATCAGCATCTCTCATTTTCGCAGTTCACCAACATTCCTTGAATTCTTTACATTTCTTTTTCAATGTAACCAATCATACAGAAACAATTTGGGTCTCAGGGTCCTTTTTCTTTCGATTCAGACAATCACATGCCTTATGCCCTGGACGATGACATTCATAGCATAATCTTGAACATTGATACTTGTATTGGTAAGTATTATACTTTTGGTCTTCACATTGGCTTTTTACAGCCTTACTTGCTAAAGAACTAATATTTTTAATAACTTCCTTTACCGGATTCATTATTTCTGCAAACCATTCCTTGATTTTACATGATTTATCATCATAAAGTCTTTTACTTCTTTCCTTAACAAGTTCGTCAGGACGATTACTCAACCTTCTAAAGGCTTTTTTCTCATTATATTCGCTCTCCTTTGTATATACTTTAACTTTTAGTGCACGATTCTTTGCATCCTCATACGTTTTGGGACACTCCTGATTTATTTCATTACAATACTTCTCGCACAGATCTTTTATGTATCACCCTTTTATTTTTGCTTCCTGACGAACATATCCTTTCACCACTATTGCTTGAGCTTCGAATCGGTTAGTATAACATACAATTGATTTGTCTTTGCCTTGTTTTATGCTCATCAACTTGATTAACTTTATGTTCCCATTATACGATGTTTTTACTTCTCTTCTCATATTGAACTTTAATTCATTCCAACTCTTGGTTGTCCATATTAGGTCTCTAACCCATGGTCTTAATTGTTCAGCAACATGTTAGCTCACCACAAGCTTCATACAAGAATTGCTCCATCCCTTGAATGCCGAATATGCTTTGAAATCAAATAAGAAGTCATCTATGTCTTCTTCACTGCCACCATAATAATATGGTACTTGAAGGTCAACAGCCTTCATAGTCTTCTCTTTAAACTTCTACAAGAGAACCTTTGCTTGCCCAGGTTTTTTATGTCATGTAGTTTACTAACACTACGTGTACTACTATAACTTTACTATCAATCTTTACTAATAATTTTCACTCGCTTGGCAATTACGATGACTAGAGTATCATACTAGATACTATCACCAGCAATGTATTCACACAAATACAATAATTTATTCACTAAGAACAAAGCTTATTCACGAAGCAAAAGCTAAAGCTAGGCATCTCCCCTATTTGGATCGATGCCTTATATATTATTACTAATACATATTTTATTACTACATTATTTATGCAATCACATATTAATTACTAATTGCTATTGATTGCTATATTGTTTATGCAATACTAATCACTTCTAATTACTACATTGTTCATGCAATGCTATTTTTAAACTTTTAATTAGATTGGGATCATGCATATTCCCGATCACAATATTCGATCACATACTCGATCACTAATTACATGGGTACTGCTACAAGTACATGGGTATTAAGAAACACCATAACAATTATCTTGCTGCATCCAACTAAGAGTATTGGCAATTGCACTATTTTCACTTTGCCTAGGTAACAGGAAAGAAACAAAGGTTTGTGAAATGAACTCATCTTTATTTAATTTATTATCTGCCTTATTTATAATCATATTTTGCTTATCTTGATTTTCATTCTCTGAGTCGTGAAAGTTGATTGAAAATCAAATCATTCTTAGGTAAGAATTGCAAAACAACATCATCAATACTAATATCTCTATAAAATATATTGTTTGCCTTCAACTATTGGAGTGCCTAGATTATTTTTTCTCTATAAATATTAAAATAACAAAAAGTAGTTCTATTAGGTGAACTGCATTTAACTACTAGCACATCTAGCAATACAGGATTACAAGAAAGGCATATTATAAATTCTTGCAAATTCTGTAAAAAATTAATGACATGTCCATGATATACATATTGCCCTCCATGCAAATTTTATATAGAAATGATAGGAAATAATTGTGCTATTAACATTTTCTCAATATTGGTTAGGTCTTTAAGTTTTTTTGAATCTTACTTTTAAAAAGATTGAGTTCATTAGGCTTTATTTAAATATGGTATTAAAAGTTTTAATTTAACAACTATTTAATTTTTAAAATATATCTGTTTAACTTAAGATAAATTTTACTATAATATTATAAAACTCATAAGATTTTAATAATTGGTTTTGTAAGTAAACTAATACTTATTATGTAAATATAGCTTCTTCTAGAGTTAGTTATTTAACAATTACAAGTTTTAACATTTTAGAATTTGTAATTGTCAAATGACTGACTTTAGAGAAGCTATATTTACATAATAAGTATTAGTTCCATGTTGAATTGATGCATTTTAAAGCAATCATTAATATAAGACTCCTATGATCATATTTATTTTAATAAATCCTACTAGGATCTATATTATTAGCTGCTGAAAACTTCTTTAAAATAGTTTTTCATTATATCAGTGCCAATACTCATTCTTTTCAAAAATGTTCAAGAGAAGAAAATTTTCATTACATGTGTTATATTGTTTGTTTTTTAATTTATTTATTATATTGTGAAATTTATTTAGAAGTTTTTGGTCTGATATTAGAAGACTATTTTTACCTTTCTCATTCATGTTTGATGCATTTTGAGAACTTACTGGAATTCTTGTTGCACATCTCTTATACATATTTGATACATTTTAAAGATTTCTATTTCTTTGTTGTTTATTAGTTTCTGAAGCATATTTATTTCATATATTTGTTGCATTACACAAAATTTGGGTACTTCTTTGTACCTCAGTTTTTCCAGCTTTATTCTAATAATATAAGGTACATTTACAAGTAAGGTGAGTTTTGTATTTCTCTTGTATCTTTTTGGCTCTTTATTGTTATTTTCTACTGTATTTACGAGCAAAAATATTTCTTCACTATTAGTCACCTCACTATCAGTCACTTCATTTTCAACTAGAGTATTAAGTCTTGAGAATTCTAAAATTTATTGATATTATAATATTAAAATAAATATTTGAAAAGAATACTATTTAATATTAACTTTACTGTATTAAAGAGAATTAATCTTAACCTTACTATGCTGAAGAGAATAATAAGAAAGTGTAATTAATAAATAGAACTGTGTTTAAGTAAAACTTTGTTCTAAAGAATAGAGTAAATATTCTATGACCAATATATGCTGAATATTAATCATGTGTTTTACAATAAAAAGTGTTTATACTATTCTGTGTTGATAGTTACAGTAGAATTGAATTTACATCTCATTTTGAATTTATTATTATATACTATTATTAGTAAATCTGATTCACTCAGGAACATGGTCTATATCTATACTATAATTATTAGAACTGTGAATTATAATAAACATTAATTTATTACTGCACACTAATTTAATTAATTGGTGATTCACTAGTCAACCAGAGAATGATCATAGTAAAATGTGACTCAAATTACTTATAAAAATTGG